CGGGAACTCAGATAAGGGAAAGATTAATTTTAGGTAAAATATATCATCTAATAAGTTTGTCTTCCTCTGCATGCAATCTGCTAGGGAATGTTGTCATCTTCATTTTAAGGAAATCTGGACAATTCACAGTTTTCCTACCTGGTTTTAAACAGTACTGCTCTCCAAGCTGGTTCGGGGACCCCACTGTGTTCTTTTAAATTTAGGAACTCCATCCTGCTGTGCATGCTGCAGAGTGTAGAGACCACAGGCTTTAGGGTCAGACCCTCTTGTATGCATATCATTGTCCTGGTACTCACTGTGTCTTTAAGAGACTCAACTTTAACATGTTTATTCATCTACAAAATTTACAGTTTGCATTGATTTTTTAAGGAAGCATAGATAATGCATCTAAGAACATTTGGCACAATCTCCGGAATGTGATGGGTATCCCAAATCAGTAATTATTTTCTTTTAACATCAGGAATACATATTTCTTGTTAGAAATATTAGGAGTGTCTGGTATAGAAAAAGTCAAAATACCCAGTATAGAACTATCGACCAATGGGTGCCACGATACCCCTGCATCACAACTCACCACCCAAACCAGTGGCTTATGTCAGTAAGTTCTCCCAGTTTCTGGGCCTGGATGTTGACTGCCATTCAGCTGATCTAGGCTTCTCTGCCAACTACAGTTTACTTACGCTGTCAATAGTTTATTTTGATCAAGTTGAACTCAGGTCAACTCTACCTTTCTAAATCTAGGGCCATAGTGGAGAACCAGACAGAACATGTTCACTGAGATTCACAGAAAGCAGAGCATGACAGCACGGTGAGCCATGCTCGATTGTTTGAAACTGATGCTGTCATCACTGTGGCCAAAGTCATACCAGGAATCTCCAAATGAATATCATCTCTGTCACGTCAATTACCCAGTCCCCCATGGTTCTTGTGTTGAAGAGAGAGACAAAAACTGTAATGAGCTTGTGCAAGAGAGTGTACCAATGAGGTAGAGGCCCATTGCCTAGAGCTGTGGTGACATCTGTGCAGAGTGAACACAGCCTCCTTATAAATTTCACAACAGCATCTTGGATGGTGGCATGTGGAAGGCACCATAAGCACCACAGCCTCTGCCTTCTGTGACTTAGATACAAGCTCACTGCATGCTCTTCAGCCCTGACTATGGTCCATATTGTATGCCCTTCTGAGTGTACCCAGATAGTGACTTCTGACATCAGCTTCCCACAGGTAGACCAAATATCACAGGTTGAGGCCACAACCCCAAGAATAGCTTCACTTCAGACACCAGAGATAAGTGTTGGGGTTCCTAAACCATCTGCATTTTGACTTGCTATCTACAATTTAGGGGCTCTACTACTTTGTACCTTGTACTCAATGATTTGCTGATCCACAGAACCAGTGCAATTTTATTTATTACAACAGTTTTATTAATAGAAAATGATACAAGCTAGACTTAGTCAAGGGGAGAGACACAGGGGACAAATTTTGGGAAGGGTCATAAGTTACTTCTATTGTCCTTCCCTTGTGAAATAAGGGTGCTTCTCTCCTCTGACACACACACACACGTGTGACTACGTTTCCAAGTCCAGAGCTTGCATTGAGGTTTCATTAACTAAACACAACTGATTGAATCATTTGCTACAAGGATGAACTCAACCTTTAGCTCCTCTCTACTTCCAGGTTTGCTGCCTGAAGCCCAATTTTATAGATGGTCTATAAGGTTGTAGCTATCTCCGTTCCTGCATAACATTGTGAGCAACAATTCTCTGCAAAACCACCATCATTTTAAAAACTACTTTTAGATTTATTGTGTGTGCATGGCTGTATGTAGGCACATGTGTGCCTACAACCTGTTAGTATTCTGTCTAAACTTCACCCCCACAGTTACCTGGCAACAACCAGGTAGGCCTGGCTCACTATAAAAGGGGATGCCTGCATCTTCCTCCCACTCTTGTACTCTTGCTCCCTTGCTCTCCCCCTCTGTCCCCTCGCCCCTTCCCTCCTCCCTTTCCACGTGGTCATGGCCAGCCCCCCCTCTTTCTGCACCTCTCTCTGCCTCTACTACCCTCTTAACTCCCCTCCCCATGCCCTGAATAAACTCTATTCTATACTTCAGTGTCGTGTGGCTGGTCCCTCAGGGGGAAGGGATGCCTGGGCATGGGCCCACTGAGATATCTCCTTCCTCCATATCTCACCACACACCTCCACAGAACATATTCTATATCTCTATCTTTTTTATAAACACATCACCACCCACAGAGGCCTGAAGAGGATCAGATCCTCTGTAACTGGAGTTACAGACAGTTGTGAACCACTATGTGTGTTCTGGGAATTGAACCTAGACCCTCTGCAGGAACAACAAGTACTCTTAACCACTGAGCCATCTCTTCAGCCCCTACTATCAATCATTTTAGCATAAACTGTTGGGGCCCTCTATGAAAAAGAAAGATGGTCCTCTTACCTAGAAAATGTCAAGGATCATATCTGAGAAACTAGGAACAAAAGCCTATCAAATTTAAAAAAAACTATTTTATTTAAGCAATTTCTTTTTATTTCATGCAATGTCTTTTTATTATATTTCCTCCTTCTCCCTGACATCTTCCAGACCCATCCTCCACTTCCCTCCTTCATGGCTTCCTTCAAAAATTAGCTCATCAAGTCCAATCTGTGCATATTCCTGGGTGCAAGGTCATTCATTTGATTGCGACTAGACAACCATAGGCAATATCCTTCAGAAACACTGATTCTTTGTTAATGGTGTGACCTCACGGGCTTCTCCCCTCTGAATGCTATAATGTTGTCTTGCTTGATCTTATGTAGTTATATACTATTTATATAGAACAGGTGCTAGAAATTCATAAGTGCAATGACCTGTCAAGTCAAAAAGACATTGTTTCAGTCTCTACCAGACTTCTGGTTCTGGACAATCTTTCAACAACCCTCTTCTATGGTAGTCCCTGAACCCTGGGTGTAGGGTGGGGCAGAATATAGATGTCTCATTGGTGGTTGGACATGCCACATATTCTCTGCACCTTGTACAGTTGTGAGTCTCTGAGCTAACCACCATCCACTGCACAAATAAAATTCCCTGTTGAGGACTGAGAGATACGCTAACGGAAAGGGAAGATGTAGGGTAGATGGGCAGTTAGGGCAGAGGAAACTGTGGAAGAAGGGATCATTAACACTAAAGATGCTCGAAAAGCCATATGCAAACTCACTATTTTATAAGCTTCCTACACACATGTTATGCATGCACACACACACAAACACGCACATGTATTACGCACACTTATATACAGGATACGCCTCAATTTTTTGGTTAGAAATGTCCAAACAACAGAAGCCATTGCCATTGCTCTGGTTGTCCACAACAACTTGATGATAAGAACTCATTGTTCAAGATGCACAGGACATTTTGGTCATAGGACATAAGGAAATCAACATGACTCAAAGTAAGAGTCTTCCTCCTTAATAGCTAGCTTTTCTAGTACTGGAAAATGCTATGTAAACTGTTGAGAGAAAACTCACCAATAACTCTTAGCCAGCTGTGAAATTTGTGAACTACAATAATGATTGGTGTGGCAGGAGATGTCCATGAGTGCAGTAGTGGTACAAATGTTATAGACACAATCAACCACTCTCTGCTTGTGGTTAAGGACCATTCCACAGGAAGAAATGCATGCCTGGTACTGTAAATATGACCACGAACTTGTGGTCGAGAAACTCACAGGCTCCAGGATAACCCTCCCACCATTATTTTGCTAAATGGATATAGACTGAAACTGTACTCTAAATTAGTATCTTTGTGCCTATTGTATTCCTTGATAATCGGTACAGTCTCCGTGTGTCCACTGGACTCAGAGGGCAGAGTGGCCTTGCACACTCCACAATGTCTAACACTCTGCTGGGAGAACACATATTGGAATGTAACCGTGACGCCTTAGGAAGTCATAGAGGTTTAGAATAAATTAATTGGAAGGGCCTTTGAGTTGCATTTAGACATTGCATCATGACTTTACTTTACATGGAAAGCTGAAGCACCAGAAAGTTTGCATCATTATCCCAGGTCACATAGAGAACAGAAATCTTCTTTTCAGTTTTATTATCACAGAGTTTCCATCAGTTCATTACCACCCGTCCTCTACATACATGAGCAGTAGCTGAAGTCAATGTGCTCTAAATTTTTAAAAATTAAAAAGAAACAAGCCAAGGAAGGGAATGAGGTGACAAACTGAATGACAAGGGTTAAAGCATGACTTATGTGAATCTTTAAATGAGATGTTAAGAACTGTTAGCTCTTCATGTCTCTTCCCTGCACTGTCTTGAAATGTCTGGAAAGGCAGAGAAGAATTTTTTTCATTCTCAATCACTATACATGACAAACTGTAAGACTGAAAATGCAGTATATTTTAACACTGTTATCCGAAAAACAGACTTTGATGACCCTGCCTCCTTCACCAAACCAAATGGAATGTGCAGTAGCAATCCTCCCAACATGCGCATCCAGAAAGGAACTGAGCATGCCTTGAGCTTCTGTCACTGTGCCTGGCACGCTGAAGTGCTTGGATGCTGTTGATTGAATAGCACATAGATTAATTCACATGTACAGATTAGTCATGAATGATGACTACTTAACCCCGCAGCCCAGCTGTCCACTTTCCAGTCTTTCATGAGAGATATTGGTTCTGCTCATCTTATTTTATATACCATCCCTTCTGAGTCCATGGGAGGGGGAGGGGTTGGATGTCATGTGATATGGTAAGTCTATCAATTACTGAATCTTTCAGCCCATGATGTTTTACTCCTGAAAGTGAAACCAAAGCATAGAGGAGATGAAAGGTGGTAGAAAGGAATACGCAACTGTATAATGGGCTTAAGTAGGTATAACCTTCAGTTAGTGTTTTCTCAAGCTGAATCTTCCTCAGAGACTCAAGATGGTATGCATCTCAAGTTTTATCCTCAAATGCGAAATTGTAAAGGAAAAACATGTTCATGTCTTTCAGTGAGCATAAACCAGGCCTACCCGAAGTTGGCTCCATACAGACCAGCAGGACAACTGCTTTCTCCTCAGTTGCTACTCTCAGTCATCATGAATTCCTGTTTCACCTGCATTGTGCTAGTGTCTACATTTCTCTCTGTGAAACAGCAGCCTTGGTACTGTGAGGTCTACAAATACAGGTGAGTTGATTTCCTTAGGTTTCCTTTCTGAGAGTGAAATAAGCAGTGCCAAGTCACATTGTCTGACTTGATACCAACAGCAAACCTAAATTTTAACTAACAAAAATAATGCTTTCATACAGAAAATTATAAATGATAGAACAGAACATATTTAATGGGTGGTATGCTAGGTGAGCAGGTGGGATTGGCAGGAAAGATAACCTGTAACCTCGCTTGATAATGAGATGGTCTTACAGCTGATCGACTATGAATGGGTCTATTCCTCAGGGCATGGATTTTATGTAGACCAAGGCTTGGGATATCCCAAGTGAGATATCACTCAGTATCCCAAGTGAGAGAATAACATCTCTGGCTTTCTGAGGAGGATAGTCTCTGTTACAGCTAGTTAATGATATTACTGTTGTACAGAAACAGCTAAAGGCAATACATAAACTCAAGCTTTACTCTTCCTGTGGAAATATTATTCTCCTTTTGAACTCGGACATGTACACTCTACTATGAGTCTAATGGCATCAGATCCCCAGAACACAGAAACATAAGCAGAGAGCCAGTATGTGATGTGTAAGAACTTCATTTAGACTCCAAAGTCAGCAAATCAAGAATGACTTGGAATATATGGTCCTGTAGAGTTTCAGAAGCAAATGCTTCCCTAATTTGGAGCAAATACACACAGTGAAGAACAACTGTGGTTGAAAACAGGAGAAAGCAGGGTGGAGGCATAGAAACATGGCCAACAAATCAAGATGGCCCTGGTTCTATCACTCCGTGCACCACACCATCTTCCTTTTCTATAATGTGATTGGACAGAGTTACATACCGTTTAGTGTTAAGCTCTGAAATCCAGGCCATCTAGCCTATCCATCCACCTCAAGAATCTGAGCTGGCTCTTTGCAAACATTATTTAACAGACTGACCATCTACTATATATACAAAGCACATTTATAGATCTTCTAGACCCCAAGATAGTAATAACTGAACCTAGTTGGGCATGGTGATGCTCAACTATCATCTCAGCACAAGGGAGTGTAAGGCAGGAAGATGATGAGCTCAATGTCAACTTTGGCTATGTAGCAAGATATTTTCTGCCTTTGTTGGGATTTCTATTGCTGTTATATAATACAATGACAAAAGGAACCTTGGGGAGGAAAGGGCTTACTTATAATGATAAGATAGCACTTTATTGCTATTGCTGAGAGACGTTAGGACTGGAACTATGGAGCTTACTGGCCTCCTCCTATGGCCTGCTCCTTAGCCTGGTTTCTTATGCTATCCAGGACCATCTATCCTGGGATGACACTACCTGTACCAGACTAGACGCTTCCATATTAATGACCAATCATGAAAATGACTTGCCTACAGGCCAATTCGATAAAGGCATGTTCTCAACTGAAGTTATTTCTTCCCAAAGGATTGAGCTTGTGCCAAGACGATGTAAAACTAACTAGCACACTATTTCAAAAAGAAAGGAAAAAGAAGCCTTGTATTTGATGTCACATCTGGAAAATAAATTATATGTATAAAATGTTGAAGATTAACTTAAAAGTTTCAGGCTAAACAAGAAAGCCAAAGAAATCTAATTTTCAAGTTTTCATTATTATAAAAAGGAAGAACATTGCAAATAGGTCAATCAGAACTGACAAAGCCTAGATCTTAAAAACAGATTTTTGCTGAGTAAATATTGTATAATCCCACTATGCTAGATGTCAAAACCTGTAAATTAACTAATACAAAAACATACACACACAAACTCATAATATGTAGATGAAAATAAAAATATCTCAACAAAAGAATTCCAAAGTAGTGAGCTAAATGCAGCAAGAGGAAAGAACAGGGAGGGGACTAGTATTGATTCTCATGCATGGGCAGAGATAATGAGGGCTGAAGAATAAATAGTAGTGCAATTAATGAGAACTGTACATCCAACTTAGAAAGTCTGCAGTGTTTTGGGAAAAACAGATATTGTGTTAGGAGAATAGGGAGTATTGGTAGGGAGCTCGGTGAAAGTAAGACTGGAAAGCTAGGCTGAGGACAGGATGTCTTCTAAGTCAGGCTGAGAAGTCAGAGCTTACCTTGTTAGTATCCTAGAGCCAAGGATACTTCCCAATCAGAAAGGCTATGTTAGGTCTTTACTACAATTCCGTAGCTACCTTTGGAGACAGTGGAATAGGGATACAACTCAGGGCATAAGTCATGAGGCTTACATCAATAAACGAAAGAGAATACACACACAAGACACACACACACACACACAGAGAGAGAGAGAGAGAGAGAGAGAGAGAGAGAGAGAGAGAGAGAGAGAGACATATACATGCTCGCACCCATATCTACAAACATACACAAATACCCCTAAACACACACACACAGACATACACAAACACACATATATGTGTGTGCATATATATACATGTTTATGATCATATCCACAAAACGTACACATATACACAAAAAATACACACATACACATAAACATACAAATACACAGATTCCTAATCACAAACATGCACTAAAACAGATACATAAATACATATTCTATTCATTCAATACATTTAATATTTGATTTGACACGAATTTCATAGAAATTGTCACCCAAGGCCTCTCAAGACACATTATCTGCTCTATACAGGAGACAGACGGGATGGTGTTGATTTCTTCTCAATTTTCTTTCTGCTTTGTCATTGTAAGAAGTAAACAAGATATGTCTTGTCAGCCACCATGTGGAACAGGTTGAAAGCTGAAGCCACCTGGTAGTAATTAAATTACTTTGTTACCTACTAAATAAAAGATTAAAAAACAGCATAGAAATTTTTCATAATGCTTGAAATTCTTTCACAGTGAATGCTTTCTGGCCAACCAAAGTAATTTCTCAACCAACATGAGTTTGGAGCGAAACTGGACGGGAAATGCAACTCTGGTTCCTGCTTCTGTGCTAAGTTTTGAGGGTACCACTTTGTGGCCCATCGTCACTTTCAACTGCATCTCAGCAGCATTTATTTTTTCTAAGGGAAAGCCATTTCGGAAACCCATCTACACAAACTGTAAGTGTGTGTAGCTTAGGCTTCCATTCTGAATCTTTTTCTGTTCCCACTTCCTTCTCAGAGTCACTGTTTACCAGCAAATGAAAGTTTGCATCTCTCTGGCACGGTAACTGACTAAAACAGTCTTAGATGGGAGAGCCATGGGGCAGAGAGCTGCTCATGTGAGGATGCCCAGTCATTATTAAACTGTTAAATGAATCAACAGCCATCAAGAACCATTCCATACATAAGCTTATATGTCAAGAGATTTTTTAAAATTATTAAATTTTTACATCCCAAATGTTGTCCCCTCCCCTTCACCTCTAAAAGTGTTCCCCCCAGGGCATCACCCTTCCCTGGGATGTCAAGTCTCTACAGAGTTAGGCCATCATCTCCCACTGAGGCCAGACAAGGCAGGCCTCTGCTAAATATGTGCTAGGATCCTCGGACCAGCCTCTGCATGCCCTTTGATTGGTGACTTAGTCTCTGGGAGATCCCAGGGGTCCAGGTTAGTTGACACTGTTGGTCTTCCTATGGGGTTGCCATCCCCCTCAGCTCCTTCAATCCTTCCCTCTAACTCTTCTGTAGGGATCCCCGACCTCAGTCCAATGGTTGGCTGTAAGTATCCGTATCTGTCTCAGTCAGATGCTGATAAAGCCTCTTAGAGAACAGCCAGGATAGGCTCCTGTCTGTAAGCACAGCAGAGCGTCAGTAATAGTGTCAAGGTTTGGTGACTGCCAATTCCTTCAGCTTCTGCTCCATTTTTGTCCCTGCATCCCTTTTAGGCAGGAATAATTTGGGGTAAAACTTTTGAAGGTGAGTTGGTGTCACCATCCTTATACTGGGGATCCTGTCTAACTATTGGAGATAGTCCCTTCAGGTTCCGTATCCCCACTGTTGGGCATTTCAACTTAGGTCACCCACATCGAGACCTGAGAGCCTCTCACATCCAAGTTCTCTGGGACTTTCTAGAGGGTTTCCCCCATTCCTACCTCCCAGCCCCGGCAGCAACATATTTCCATTCATTTTCCTGGTCCTCTAGGCTTTTCTCCTGTTTGCCCCTCTTACCTAATCATGACCCCCTTTCCCCTCCTCCTCTCCTCTCCTACCCTGATCCCTCCCTTCCTCTGCCTCCCATGATTATTTTGTTCCCCCTTCTAAGTGGAATTGAAGCATCCTCAATTTCTTCGTTCTTGTTTAACTTCTTAGGGTCTGTGGAGTTTATCATGTATTCTGTACTTTTTGGCTAAAATCCAACTATCAGTGAGTACACACCATGCATGTCCTTTAAGGTCTGGGTTGCTTTCACTCAGGATGATTTTTTTTTTAGTTCTATCCATTTGCCTGCAAAATTCATGATGTCCTTGTTTTAAATAGCTGAATAGTAATCCATTTTGGAAATTAACCACATTTTCTATATCCATTCTTTGGTTGAGGGGTATTTGGGTATTTTCCAGCTTCTGGCTATTATAAATAAGGCTGTTATGAACATAGTGGAGCACATTTCCTTTTGGTATAGTGGAACATCTTTTGGGTATATGCCCAAGAGCAGTATAGCTGGGTCTTTAGGTAAAACTATTTCCAATTTTCTGAGGAACCTCCAGATTTCCAGATTGGTTGTACCAGTTTGCAATCCCAACAGCAAAGGAGTATTTCTCTTTCTCCATATCCTTGCCAGCGTGTGCTGTTCCTTATGTTTTTGATCTTATCCATTCTGATTGGTGTAAGGTTGAATCTCGGGGTTGTTTTGATTTGCATTTCCTTAATGACTAAGAATGTTGAACATTTCTTTAAGTGCTTCTCTGTCATTTGAGATTCCTCTGTTGAGAATTCTCTGTTTAGCTCTGTACCCCATTTTAATTGGGTTATTTTGGTTGTTAGAGTCTAACTTCTTGAGTTCTTTCTATATTTTGAATATTAGCCCTCTCTTGGATGTAAGGTGAGTGAAGATCTTTTCCCAATCTGTAGGCTGCCATTTTGTACTATTGACAGTGTCCTTTGCCTTACAGAAGCGTTTCAGTTTCATGAGGTCCAATTTACCAATTGTTGATCTTAGAGCCTGAGCCACTGATGTTCTGTTCAGGAAGTTTTCCCAGTGCTGATGTGTTCAAGGTTATTTACAGCTTTCTCGTCTGTTAGATTCAGTGTGTCTGGTTTTATATTAAGGTGGCTTTTAAGGAACTTCACAAGTTTACCTCTTATCATCTTCATAATGCTGAGACAGTTACATTAAGTTGTTCATGTCTCTATTGTCTCATCTGTAGAATGGGAGTATTATTATGTGACCCCTAGTCTTGTGATGTTGGGTTGTGGTGCACGCTCGTGGGTGTAGGTGTGGGTTCTGTTGGGCCAAGTTGTGGGTCTCTCGAGACTGCCATCCCAAGGGGCTAGGCTGCGGCTCAGGGTGACAGAGACATAGAAACTTGACTGAGTTCATTCCACGTGTGTCGGGTGGACATCGGGCTGTGAGAAGCTGCAGGACTCCACCCTGGGCATGGGAAGAACACAGTCTGAGACCACTGCGAGAGCCAGAGCTGTTGGGTTGGAGGTCCCTGGGCCAAGGTGGCTGGCCGGAGACCAACTGGTCTCAGCCCTCGGGTTCCCAGGAGCTGCTGAGAGGCCGCGGATTCACCGAGACAGGGTGTATGGGCTGGATCTACCCACAGACAAAAAAGGTGGGGGGGGGGGAGAAGATGAGTTTCAGAGGTGTCCTCCCAGTAATGAGACTCTTGGTCTCGGCAACTCGCTTGGCTAGGTCATGGCTGGCTCGGCTAGCTCCCTTGAGTGGGCATCCTCTGTGGCTGGAATGTAGTGGTGTCTTTGGTGGAAGATTAGATGGTGGCTCGATAGTTGAAGATTTTTTCCATGGTTCCCCACGGCGGGGGGCCCCAAAGATGAGTTTAAAATGTCCATGGTTTTAAAATGTTTATTGTCATGGCAGAAAATGGATGAAGCTGTACCCTGTATTCTCAGGGCAGGCCTGAGGTTAAATACCTTTTGCAAGTAGGTGGAGTCTCTGGGAAGGCATGCTTAATTGGCTACATCCTCTGGCCTTTAGGTGTCTCATGAATATGGAGATGTCTTGAGGCTCTGCGGCCTGTGTCACGCCCTCTACCTGTGTTACATGACCGATGGTCACAAACCTCTCTTTGAGAGGGGCTGTAGAGGGCTGTCCTATGTGCCTGAAAGGCACAGGTTGATGGAGGCCTTTGGCCTCATGTCAGGAGCCTGGAGTCTGGGAGCGTGGTGAAATGCATGCTGTCCCTTGCAGGGAAACCTGTGAGGTCTCCAATCTGCTGGGTCTCTGGCCATCTCTAGCCAGAGAAACCATGCTGTCCTTTCACGGTTCTACATTGTGAGAGTTAAGTAAAGCATTTTATGTAAAGGGTCTAGTGCAAAACATAGGAATGCCCCCACATTTATAAAATATGCTTTTTAAAATGCCTTACTTCTCTAATACATTTTCTAACTAGAATGAAGCCAAACCCAAAGCAAAATATTCGTAGCTACTATCAGGACCTCTAGGCAGGAAAACAAGCAAACCGTAGTATGTCCTTCCACACTTTTGTGAGTGGAAGCAGATACTGCTAATAATTATGCCAGCTCAAGCAGAACCGTAGGAGATTGAGACATGTGGGCATCTTGTCTACCCACACCGCTGGCTTTGCTGTGTCAGCATTATAAATAAGTCCATGTCAAAGCTACTCACACTGATGGGGAAGTAGCTTAGTTACTAGAATGCTTGTTTCACATTCACAAAACCCTGAGTTTAATCCTCAATACCACATAAAACCAGGAGTGGGGCTGAGTGTCTCTAGTCTTGGCGCTGAGGAGGTGGAGGCAGGAGCATGGCAGTTCCAGGTCATTCTGGGCTACATGGTGAGTTTGAAGCAAAAGAACAAAAACAAGACAAAACAAAACTCGGATAAGTCATTTCAACTGGCCTCTGAGTTCCTTAAGACAACAGGTCCAATTATTTGGTGAACATGTCCAGCTTTTGTGATATGATTTAAATTGATTTCCTGAGTATATATAGTAATTTTCATCGGTATCAGTTGCTTTTTAGAGGGTCATTTCATAACAGTAGAGCTGGGAAGTGATATGTAAGTGTAGACTAAAAACAAAATTTTGTTGATCTGCCTAGAGTTTCTAAAGCAGGATATTCCATTTCATTTTAATTTGCATTTTTATCTTCAGTGAAGAGAAATATAGATCTGTATTATTAACCATGTCATCTATGACTTGTCTGTGCATGTTTAATCTATTCTCATATTGGATTTCTGCTACTCTCCTTATTTATCTGTGTGAGCTGTTTATTCCTTTGTAGTTATTTTTTTCTCATTGCCTTTGTGCACAGAAGGGTTTTTTTTTCTAATTACAAAACAGAAGAGATTACACTTATTTATTTTTCAAATGTTCTAATGCTTTTTAAAATTTAATACAACATGGTATGTTTACTGTGTGGGTTGTTAGTTTATCCAATTAATCAATGTTTTTGACATATTTTTGCACCACTGAATATCTAATATTCTTTTCATTCACTTACTCCCCCACTGAGAATAACACTAGCTTCATCATATCAATGTTCATGTAAGCTATTGGTTCATTATGGATAATTTATAGTAGACACTGTAAATCTGTGTTGCCTTCATATATTATATATCTGTGTAGAGCTAATCTGCTGCCACGGTCTCTTCTATTCCACTGATGTACAATGGCACTTTAGCAATTATAGTCTCTTGGTTTATTTAGCATGCAGCATATGGGTGGTACACTCCCTCCTCATATTTTTACACCCTCTCCTTTCATGTTTTTTCTTCCAGATGAATTGTAGAATTGTCCAGCTTCAAAATTTCTCACCTGGGATCTTGACACTTTGGGAAGAATTTACAGCTTGCCATAGTTCAGTCTTTTGAGACAGGAGCATTCCACAGTTGTTTGTTGTTTTCTTGTTCTTGTGACTAAGGATGGGACTAGAGGCAGCCTAATAGGGGAAGCCTTTATTTGTCTTATAGTATGCA